AAAAAACGTTTCATTGAAGTTGATTTAAATACGCGTTTCCCCTTTCTAGGCTTCATGCGATCCAAAAAACGAAAGAAAGAATTGTGTGTGTATCTCGTGTATACTTAAATATTAGTAACGTACTATGATTCATTATTTGAGCATACACATAAATTTCTTTCTATCGTTTTTGGATCTGATTAATTCAGAAAGGCGAAACGAATAATCAAAACTAGTTTCAATGAACCGTTTTCTATTTGTTATATATATATATATATATATATATATATATATATATATATATATATTAATAATTCATCAAGTCTAGAAAAAACATATATATATATATATATATATATATATATATATATATATATATATATAATGACAGTTTTTTTATATACACAAAACCCTTTTAGAAAAAAATAAAATAAAAAAAAAATAAATAAATAAATAAATAAATAAATAAATCTCCGTAGACACTTAACCAGACTAGACGATGTCATATTCCGCTTTAAATTTAGACACCCCAACCTTACACTGATTTGACCTCTTTGAATGTAACTGAGATATTGATACAAATTATTAACCCTTACACCCCTTTTTCTTTAAAAAATTGCTCTAGGCATTACTATAGTAATTTTAATTTCAATAATGAATATGCTTATAAAACGCGTAAATTTCAGGAATTAGCTATTCCCAAAAAACATTTCACCTGAAGATGGAACAGAGCTTGGTACTTTAATTCAATTTAATTCAAATAATTATATTGAAGCTTTCGGCTCTTGTTTTGAAACATGAGAACTCTTATGTTGCGTTAGAATCATATTTTTTTTTAAATAATTATATATATATATATATATATATATATATATATATATATATATATTGACGTGCTTTACCGATTTATCCACACAGGAGCGTTTCGGTTTACAAGGTCGATTTCACAGTTTTTAAACTAAAATTCTCCATGATTTTCTCTCGTACATTTATAACTGCTCGATGCGTATCCAAATGCAAACAAATGACGTCAGTAACGGTAAAGCACGTCAGCCTATATGACGGTTCCGTGTAGGATACAGGTTCGATTCCTGTCGGAGGACGCATATTTTCTATGAAAATTTCTCGGTCATTCAGGCCGGTAAATGTATATATATATAGGAAATTTTGTTTTGTTGATTGGATGATTAACATGAATGAGAATAAGATGAAAATGAGTACAATCGGTGTTATGTGTGGTTTTGCGTGTGTGTGCAGGATTATATCACGTTGAGTGGAAACAAAAAGTGTTACTTATCACTTCAAGCTGAGCGCGTTGTCATATTGCATTCCAGATCGAACCCGTTACTGCGTTTGCTACTTATTTTATTAAATAGCATAGATTGCTGGTGAACCGGAAGTAATCCGTGATTGGACTAGAAATTAACAAGAGAATTTTTAGTGTGAAAAATGAGGAAAGTTGTAGCTAACAGAGTGTACAGATCGCTATCGGCTGGGTCACAATGGAGAACTTCTTTGATGGTGAAAAACCCGTAAAAGCATCAAATAGATGTATTTCCCATATATATATATATATATATATATATATATATATATATATATATATATATATATATATATGTGTGTGTGTGTGTGTGTGTGTGTGTGTGTGTGTATGTGTATATTATATGAATATAATTTCTCATGTGATCATTATTTTTTCAGTACGTAAATTATATAAAAAACTGTCTAAATGCTATATTTTTCCGAACGCTTTCGGCTATACATTTAGCCATTTTCGTGGATGAAATATATTGATTGATAACTGGAAATAGATTGCTGTATGTATTTAGTATTATAGAATGTTTTGTTTTCAAAATACAGTCAACATATTATGTCCATGTTCATATTTGATATTATTGAGTGTTAGTTCTTTCTTTTTTGTTTTTATAATAATTTATCTACTAAATAGAAAAAAAAAATTAAAAGATCACATGAGGAGCGACTAAGGGTCAAAAATCCGAGGTTACTTGAGTACTTGAACTGCGGAACTGAGTGATAAACGGTGCTATACGGACTCTAGTTTATGCCTTCTTCGTCACCGTGGTACAGTTGGTATGACGTTAGGTTCGGTCAGTGAACTGGCTGATCGGTTGATCTCTATTCCTTCAGGCGGGGAGGAACCTGAAGGGCGGATTGTTTTTCGGGGAGGTAAACCGACCCTGAACTCGTTTATACGGCTTCAATGGGCTTCTTTTTGGCCGAGACCAAGGGCTCGGAGATCCCACGTTAAAAAGGCCTTGTGCAACATGACGCCCTCGTCTTTTGACTGAATATCGTTGGTATGACATTTGCATTGTATCGAAACGGTCCGGGTTCAATTCTCGCTAGTTGATGCGCTGCTGATGAGTCCCAGATTGGACAAAACGGCCGTCCAGTGCTTTCTTCATTCTGTTGAGGATTATTCCAGGCTCGACGAATTACTATATGATTAGCCTAAATCCCCAAAAATAATCACATATATATATATATATATATATATATATATATATATATATATATATATATATTAGTTCCATTTCATCCTCAAACGATTCGCTTGGGGATGAAATAGAACTAATGGTTTTAATTACAAAATTTTACCTTCCATTTTTAAAAACCTGGTTAGAACTGTGTAGCGAAAAAACTATATTTTAAATCAGTTTTTATATATATATATATATATATATATATATATATATATATCAGTGTTATATATGTATATATATCGGTGTTATATATATATATATATATATATATATATATATATATATATATATATATATATATATATATATATATATATATATCAGCTATCCTCACCTCTACCAAATATCTAAACAATAGAAACCAAACAGGAAATTACAAATGTAACAAACCTCGTTGCTTAGTTTGCAAACATTTAGTAATAGCTAATATATTTTACGTACCCAACACCAATATCAGGATACAGCCACCTAACCTCACCTGCGATACCCATAACGTAATCTATTATTTATTCTGCAACTTATGTCCTAATAGTGGATATATTGGTGAGTCTGGAAACAATTTTAGATTTCGTTTTAATAACCATAAACAAACAATACGTCAAAACAACCCTTATTCCCCATAGCTAAACACTACAATCAATCAGGACACACATTAGAAAACTGCAAATGTTTATTAATAGATTCCGATTTTACTTCCACATTCACACGCAGAAAAAAAAAAAACATATTGGATTTTAAAATTAAATACACATAAATTAGGGTTGAATAGGGACTTAGGTGTTTTAAATCTTTATAAATATTTCAATAGCTAAGCAATTTCTTTAGATATAGTAAAAAAATATTTTTAAAAATATTTATGACAGTTAGATTTAAGTTAGAATATCTGAACAGTGACGTTCCATATCACGTGACGTCCGCGTCTCTCGAAGGACGCTACTTGCCAACAAACAGTAATTTTAATTTATTTGTAACAAACAGTTATTTCTGATGAAAAATTGAGGACAATTTGAAATATCAAATATATATATAAATAAATAAATACTTTCATAAAATAAAACATTATAATTTTTAATTTGAAACTTTTTCTATATATATATATATATCAGTTGTATATATATATATATATATATATATATATATATATATATATATATATATATATATATATATATATATATATATATATATATATATATATATATATATATATATATATATATATATATATATATATATATATATATATATATATATATATATATATCTAATGATTTGGGATAAGTTACTGTCCTTATCATTTGACTCGTATTTCTTTTATCTATTTGCATGACATATTTCCGAAAATTTTGCCTCCAGTAAGTAGTCAGAAATAATGAAAAACATATGATAAACTACATATCATTCTTTTCAGATTTTTTCCCCTTTCAGCCCCGTTGCTATTTTGAGTAAAATGATTTTACTTAGAGGAAAGTCTCAAATACGATTTATATACATATTCTTAATCACTCTTATTGCTATACACCGCCATCTTAGCTGAAAGCTATGTTGCACAGCCCGATAGCAAATGAGATTGTCAACGCTATTTAAACACATCGAAATGATGTAATTGATTATTTTTATTCAGTTCTTTATTCACTTGGATGCAATTATATGAATGAATCTGTGTGCTATGGCTTTCGGAAATACTTAATAAAATGTTAAAAGTCTGGTATGGGTAAGAAATGAATAATTATGACATCGTTTTTTAATTCATCTTTTGTTCGATTTCAGGTGAATTTGGTGGAGGAGGTTTATTTTCTAATGATATAGACATAGGAAATATATATATATATATATATATATATATATATATATATATATATATATATATATATATAAACATGTTTGGTTAAATGATTTCAATATATAGGCATAGGAAATATATATATTACAAGAGAGTGTATGAGGCATTTTCGCTATTTTTTTTTTTTTTTGCGTTAAGGGAAGTAAAGTCTATTTTATGGAAAGGCCAGCGATTTCAAACGAAGTTATGGAATACTGAAGCAATTTCCCTGCTCACAAAGGATCAGGACATTTATCTAAACCATAATGTAAACGGTATAGAATTTTCATTATGATAATTTGTATTGAAGTTAAGAGATCTTTATGGCAGAGCAGCTAGAAATTAAACGATTTAAGTGACTTGAGAATTAATGCACGTCTTTTCAGATGTCTTTTAAATGAGTTTTTTGAGTTGAGCCTACTGAGATGAATCTTTTGACATGAATATTTTCAAATAATTTTTTTGGGAGGAGTCTTGTCAGATGACTCTTTTCAAAAGAGTTTTTTGAGATTTTTTTCTCACGAGATGAGTGTTTTTCGGAAGTGTCTTTTGAGATGAAGCTTTGGGATGCGTCTTTTCAAATGAGTCTTTTCAGATGAGTCTAGTCTGGCAAATATTTTCAGACGAATCAGTTGATATGTGTCTTTTCAGAAGGTTCTTTTCAGATGATTCTTTGAGACGCGTCCTTTCAGATGAGTCTTGTCGCACGATTCTTTTCAGACGAGTCTTACAGACTAGTCTTTTTAGTTGAGTCTTTAGAGATGTCTCTTTACAGACATGTCTTTTCACTCGTGTCTTTACAGACAAGTTTTTTCAGTCATGTCTTTACAGATGTATCTTTTCAGTCGTGTATTTACAAACAAGTCTTTTCAGTACTGTTTTTACAGGCAAGTCTTTTCAGTCGTGTCTTTACAGACGAGTCTTCTCAGTCTTTTTACAGTTTTCAGTCGTGTCTTTACAGACGAGTCTTCTCAGTCGTATCTTTACAGGCAAGTCTTTTCAGTCGTGTCTTTACAGACGAGTCTTCTCAGTCGTATCTTTACAGGCAAGTCTTTTCAGTCGTGTCTTTACAGACGAGTCTTCTCAGTCGTATCTTTACAGGCAAGTCTTTTCAGTCGTGTCTTTACAGACGAGTCTTTTCAATCGTGTCTTACAGTTGAGTCTTTTCAATCGTGTCTTTACTGACGAGTTTTTCAGACGGGTCTTTACAGGTTAGTCTTTTCAATCGTGTCTTTACAGACGAGTTTTTTAGTCGTGTCTTTACAGACGAGTTTTTCAGTCGTGTCTTTACAGACGAGTTTTTCAGTCGTCTTTACAGAGTCTTTTCAGTCGTGTCTTTACAGACGCGTCTTTTCAGTCGCGTCTTTACAGAGGGGTTTCAATCGTGTCTTTACAGAAGAGTCTTTTCAGTCGTGTCTTTACAGAGTCTCTTCAGTCGTGTCTTTACAGAAGAGTATTTTCAGTCGTGTCTTTACAGACGAGTTTTTCAGTCGTGTCTTTACAGAGTTTTTCAGTCGTGTCTTTACAGACGAGCCTTTTCAGTCGTGTCTTTACAGACGAGCCTTTTCAGTCGCGGCTTTACAGAGGAGTTTTTCAGCCGTGTCTTTACAGACGAGTTTACAATCGTGTCTTTATAGACGAGTCTTTTCAGTCGTATCTTTACAGACGAGTTGTTCAGTCGTGTCTTTACAGAGGAGTTTTTCAGCCGTGTTTTACAGACGAGTTTACAATCGTGTCTTTATAGACGAGTCTTTTCAGTCGTGTCTTTACAGACGAGTTTTTCAGTCGTGTCTTTACAGAGTTTTTCAGTCGTGTCTTTACAGACGAGCCTTTTCAGTCGCGTCTTTACAGAGGAGTTTTTCAGTCGTGTCATTACAAACGAGTTTACAATCGTGTCTTTATTGACGAGTCTTTTCAGTCGTGTCTTTACAGATGATCTTGATAAGAATCTTTTCAGACGATTACTAATATGTTTGGTTTTTTAACCGCTGTCATTTCTCCCTCTTTCGTCGAAATTCCATCATTTACATTCATTTTCTTGACCGACTTCAGCATTTTTATGATTCTGCATGAAATTCGGATTATATCCTGTTCTCGTTGATTTTTTTCACAAAGAAAATTATATCGTCTGATAAAGACGCAAATGTTTCATAAACGGCGCGATAAAAAAAAAGAAAAAAAACTGTATCTCGTCAAGAAAAACAAATATTTTAAAAAAATTGAAAATGGTCATTTCGTCATCTTATCTGCGGTCATTTCAATTAACCTGCAAGAACGAATAATCTTAATGAGCAAAATGGAGTCATGACAAAATCTGACATTAGTATTCGGCGAAGAGTCCTTAACAGTAATTACGATGACGACGCCGATTAATTAAGTTGACAATTACATTCAAGTAAAATATTCAGCAGATATTTACAAAGTTAAGATTAGTCTGATAATCGATTAAACCGACTACGAACAGAACACGGGCAAAGTGTTTCTTATTAGCCTGCTAAATATCCCTCGAACTAATATTTCAGAAACTTAGTCTGACAGGAGGCTTTACTAAATTAACATCATCACTTTTGGAGTTTGCAGCTTGTATTTTATATCATAAACGGACAATTTATACAAAGGGATTAAATAGCAATAGCACGCTCCAAAACAAATATTCATCTGTCTTTCTGTGTACATATATTTCGTCTTACTTTTTACCTATTTATGGGAACATTAACCCCTGAAGGTGACAATTTGAAATTATTGAAAGTGCTTGGCATGTGTCTTCCATCTGACAACAACTTGAATATATCGATTATTATTCAAGGAATTGATAGTAAGTTAATGTCTCATTAAGTTCTGTTAGCGAATTGATTTCGCTATTAATGGCATTAATATTGCTATTTAATTCTTTGTATAAATTAATTCTTTTTGAGCGGCTTTACTAAATTAACATCTTCACTTTAATGGGATCTCCCGCTGGAAGGAGTTAAAACAATTTAAATTCTATTTTCTTCCTATTACGTTCGCTGAAAAGTATATTCTCGGAGGACTTACGATATTCAAAAGATCCGACCGAAAACCGATTGTAAAGCAAAACTTCTGATTTTGATGTATTAAATAAATTCGTCGTTCAGCTGCTTAGAGGCTGCTGCATTCACTAGATCTTACGGCTTGCTCGTATACCTTTAAAATTAAAAAAGAAACCTATATATTTTGTAATGTATGACACATAGGACACACACACACACACACACACATATATATATATATATATATATATATATATATATATATATATATCTGATGCAATGAGAAGGAAAGTAATAATACCAACGTTCACAGTATTAATCCAAAAGAGGGCTCGATATCGATAATAGAGCGATAATTTTTATTATAATTTTATTATATAGACAAAAACAATTTACTCACTACAAAGATGCAACTTCGTTTCGGTGCATTTCAAGTGCACCTCCACGGGTGTATGTTCGGTTGTCACCCGTCGAGGTGCAGTTGAAATGCAGCAAAACGAAATTGCATCTTTGTAGTCAGTAAACTGTTTTTGTCTATATGATAAAATTATAACATATATATATATATATATATATATATATATATGTTATAATTTTTATCTTTATATATATATATATATATATATATATATATATATATCCATATATCCAGATAAGATGAAAAGTCTAGAGTAAAATTCCAACGTTTGTAACATTTAATTTAAAAGAAGGCTCAATACAAAGTAGAGCGATATACTTTATTTTAGGATATTATACCGAAAAACCTATCAAAATCAATACGCAACTGCAGTCATGTTTCGATGCGTATCAACGCATCTCCCAGGCGATTGTAAATTTTCGAATATATATATATATATATATATATATATATATATATATATATATATATATATATATATATCGTGTGTAACAGCAAAATAGTCCATGTGTTATATTAAGCCTTGAAACGTCATATCTTAGAAACCATTAATGATATCTTATTGGAATTCTCCGAGGTTTTTTTTTTATAACACCACTGGACACTACAGCAAAATCCGACACTTGACAAGAAGAAAACGAAATAGGCAATAAAATTCTTTTGCACTGGAATGTTCTCCTTCGTATTGCTATGAAAATTGATCCACTATTGACTTCCTCAGTTATTCCCTCGTAGTCGTTTATTTAATTCATCATGTCAGGCAATTTATCAATCCCGAAATCATGTAAGACTCAGATGCGTTTCTGATAGTTTAAAAGACGTTTCTCCCATCCTGAGTATGACGATAAACTACAACCGGCAGGAAGGCCTCTAATCAGAAGGTTTCGAGGAGCGTGAAATCAGCTCTTAATTGCTATTTTTCCCAGATCAATTCTAACCCAGGGTGGCAGCACCTGTCAGGGTCCGATCTATGGCCAAATAGTTAACCCACAAATTTTTATAACAGAAATATCAGCAATATATTTTCATAGTAAAAAAAAATATTAGCAGAAATATATTTTTGTAAAACCACAAAACAATTACTAGGAATATATTTTTGTAAAAGAAATTACTAATGCTCTCAGAAAATTCAATTTTGGCATAAATAACCTATAAGGATTTGCTATGCCGCTAAAAAAACAAAATACGTTTCTTCCCGTATTATTTTGGTATTACTAGGTACGAATCTCGATTCGCTAAAAACTAAAAGCCTTTCATGCACTCGAACAACGCATGCGCCGAATTTTGTGAAAGGCCAAGAGTTTTTATTTTGGTGATGAATTTGGTGTTGCTGAATTTGAAGTTGACAAAAATAAAGATAAAATCTTTTTTATATGGACAGAATAAAGAAGTAGACATACAGTTTGGAATATAATAGCTCGTAACACTTGGATTCGTCATACTAAATTGATGCCATTAATGACAATAGTACGCAGTTTTAGGCTTTAAGAAAGCTTTATTCAACTAAGAATATAAGGTTTGAGCATAGCGTACTTTTATAGTCCCAGTAAACAGAAGTGCGCAATGAAACAAGGGGAGACTACTCTTGATATATTCATAAGATCTATATCTCTCTGTATAATACTAAAAGCCTGTGATTGTGTGTGTGCTTGTGTGGTTCCAACGTCCGGGGCGTAATGATGTACGTGTTATTTATAGAGTAAGTACATTTATTTTAACTTTCTTCAAACAAATATTTTTAATTACAATATTTTAAAGTTAAAGGCAGATACAAAGAGATCCCGATTGGCTGTTTCGTCCAGTTGTTTGTAGAATGATTATTTATATTTTAGCTTTCATTAAACAAATATTGTTTTAAATATTTACAAAATAATTTTTGGCATAATTGAAAAATTAAAATTAAAAGTTTATACCGGAAGTTTTATTGCTATTAAATCCTATGAACTTGTAAACCAGACCAATGATGTCAAGAACGAATTGAAATATTGAACTGAATCATAATAAATTAAATATCATTTCAGGGGAATGTTGAAATCAATTTCAATGTTTTAAAACCTGATATCGTCGGTGACCCAACGTTTCACGGGTAGTGCAGTTAAATAATAAAATTGTTATCTTGTATTGCAATAAATTTCTTCCATTCCTATACCAGTTTCACCATTATCACTGGTCTAAAACTTGTTTTTACAGAAATGTTTACCTAACCAATCATTCCATATGTATTCATACCTCCTTTGTTAAACTGACTATTTCTCTCGACTTTCAACAAATTAATGCAGTACAATAATCTTTATTCCGTTATTTTCTTTTGGAAAACAATATAAAAAATGCATTTCGTCTTGTCCACAACGCGATTTATATCGATTGCAAGTATTGCCTACCGAAATTACGTTAATTCTCTTGCCGGTTCAGAAAATGGATTTATGATGGCTTAAAAGACATTTCCAACAAGAAAACGGAAAAGAATTCATCTCACTGATCGATTCATCAGTTGAATTTTTATTGGTTGTCTGGAACAGGCAAATTTGTGCCAGGCAAAATTAATCCTTTTTAAAAACATTAAGAACACTAAGTCTACTCTAATAAAGATAACAATGAAAACAGATTCATCTTCTTTTTTTTTTATTCCTAACGAGAAATAAAAACAATATAAGTTTTAAGGAAATTTGTGTTAGCAAATAAAAAAAAATTGTGGCAATCGCAAACGAAGAACGCGAACGGCGAAAATGAAACAAACGATGAGATTTTATGATTAATCTTAACTTGATTTGAATGTGAGTTTTCCATAAAACGAAACACTGTCTTATATTAACGTTGTTTTTTTGGGGGGTTTTTTGTTTGTTTTTTTGTTTTGTTTCGCATTTAAGGTGTAAAACTTACCTGTTATACACTCGATGGTATATCAAATATATTATACTAAATACATAGTATTCAAATTCTTCGGACCGTTCTGCTCATCTTTATTGTCATATTCACGACGTTTTGACAGTTGTACTCTCCGGCGTTCTTCAGTAGGTATACTTTGGAATTTCGAACCGAAACTTTTATTTCGGCCACTGGGGTAGATTCGAGTTCCACGTGCTGTGTCTTTGGATGTTTCAGTTGAAGTAATCCAGTGACTTGATCCCTCTGAAATAGCTAGCCAATGGCATTCGAGGATACTCGTCTATTAGGGAAGCTAGCCAATCCCTATTGCAGACGCTTGATCAGACGCATGTGTATTTATTCAACACGCACAGATCCCACCTGTGGATTATGCTGCAACTGTGCTGAGCAGAGTTTAGTTACAGTTTCTGGAAAAGAGCGTGTTTCCTAGCGTGATCAATTTGAACAATGCGAGGACACTCAAGCTATCGGCCATGATGTCTTGTAACTTTGGGTTAGCACATCTATCGACGTCTACCTATTTTTACTCACAAGGCTTGGGTCAACTCTTGGTATGGATTTCAGGCACTTTCCAAAGGTGCTGCACGCTG